TTCATTCCTACCAGAATGAGATGGTTTGGAATAAAACAGATAACAGGACTATATTAAAACAAATTTATTAAGTGCAAGTCTTAAGCTTTTTATTTGTACTATATCGGATGTAAGAAAGGGCTATATTCTTAGGTGCATTGTGTAATTGCAAAGAAAAATAATTTATTTGCGAATGTCAGCCTTCTTGTAGCAAATGAAAAACAATGTGACAGAAAGGTTTTTCGTCTGTTGTAATTTTTCCTGGAAAACTTTGAATTATTATATTTCATTGTTCAACTATAGAAGATTCTGTACAAAGATTTTTCTTATTATTTTTATGTTTTCATTTCTTCGAATTAAAAACTTGCTTTAATGGTAACTGTTTGGATTTTAACGCAAAACTACATAATGGGCTATCTGCGTTGTGTCTACCGCATGGCTAATGGTAAAAAACTACTGTGCCATAGATAATAGAATTGAAAGGTACTTCATATATGCTACAGATCATGGATATTCTGTTTTAGTATCTTTGCCTAATTTAAACTACTTTCACAGTAATATTACACGTCTAACCTGCTGAACTGGAACAATATTTTGTATTTTGTACATAAACATTTAACACTGTTTATTACCTAATTACATAATCCCCATAATGATACTTTGGAAAGAACTATGAGGTATAAGAAATGTAAAAACATGCATTATGGCAGAGAATATTATACGTAAACAAGAAGAACAGTAAATATATTTAAAGACATATAATGTTTTCAGGTAACTGTACCTTATGAATATCCTAATTCTTCATAATAAGTTTTGAAAGCTTCTAAGTCCTTACTATATCAATGATAAAAAAAGGGGTTGTGGGAAATAAATCATGACACAAGCTTAACACTCATCAATCATTCTTGAGTGCGGTATTAACATAATTTACCTCTAAAGTGAAATATTTTTAACACTTTCTGCTGTTCCGATAGCATAGTTTAAAGTTCATGACAGTTTCTGAGCACGTCTTTTTCAAATTATGTAACTCCAAAGTCATAATTCAAATGCACTTTAGGTAATATAGTGCGGTTTAAAAGACATTTTTCCAATAAATCGTTCAGAAAATGCACAACACAAATAACTTATTTATAACTTGTATCTTCTACATATCATAGATCAATCGTCACAAATGGTTTTTAGGGTACAAAAAAGTCCAAATGGCTTACTTAAGGCATTTTTCTTCAGAGTAACTTAAATGACTCATTTTCAAAAAAATATTTTTCTGGAAGTACAACTTAAGTGATTTAGTTAAAGCATTTCCAGATATTACAATTTAAAATACACATTTTAAACAATCTAACTCGGCTAGCGTACTCTCAACACACACACACAAACTGAAAGAAGTGATTAAAACAACTGACTAAATCGTAGAGAACGACAGTTGAAACAATAAAACTGAATTATACAAATAAATTAAATTAAATATAAAGTTTGGACTGCTAACACAATATACTAGGAGCAACAAAAAATAATGAATTTTTAATTTTCCGTTAACCAACAATCTTTCATTTTTATTATTCAATTCTCAAAATGGTTGTTACTTCTACCATCGATGCAACATATTTTTGTTTTAAATTAACGTTCATAATGTAAAATGTTTGAGATAATATTTGTCAAAACATATTCCGAAATATACTTTTAGGGAACTAGGGTGCGCGAACTATGGGTGCTGAGGGTGCGAAAGAATTCCCTGGTTTGATGTGCGAGAGTGCTGTGTAGGAGTGGGTCCCATCATATACAGGGGATTTCAATTCTGTTCAGTGTTTTTTGGTTTTTTTTCAGCACTCCCACTGTAAAAATTGTTCTAGCATCAATGTTAGGGAATAGTTGTTTTATTTTAGTAAATCATTTATATCAACATGGCTCAATAGAGTTTTCTTCCTTTATGTTGAATTTGGTTTATTATATGAATTTTTTTTAAAAAGAAATGTCTAATAACCAAACCAAGGTATACATCACTTCACACAACGTGATATCTTTAGAACGTTGTTCAGGTTATTCGTTGACTTACTGGTTCGATACGGATCTGTATGCTAAATATACTTTGAATTTTGCAGCATATATTTGACTTAATAAGTTCATAGAAAATATAAACACTAAATATTACGAATATCGTTTGTCTGTCCTTATTTATGGACAGGATTTGAATCAGACTAGGTATATAATATGTAACATAGGAAAATAATGTTACTTCCTTATAATTCCGACTAATCCGTGCATCTTTTTTTTTTTCATATAACTTCTCGATTAACTCGCGCTTCTTAAGAACTAACACTTCTTATTAATTCATAATTTACGACATGGTTTTACCTTTCTATCATTAACTGTATTTGCATACAAAAATATGTACTTTTATCCTCCAGTGTTATAACTCGACTGTTAAACGATGCATTATAACAAATATGAAAGTAATCAACAATGGTTCAAAGAACTATTTTGTTCGTAAATATTACAATGCGTTAAACCTTTTCTTTATAAAACTACCCGCATATCATGTAGGTTTTTACTCCTGATGATGGTAGCATAAAGCTACCGAAACATGAAGACTTTCTAATTTTGGCCATGGGCCAAATAAGATCTTATTAAATAAGATCTTAAATGTTGAACTTATTTATATTTTTGAAATCTGCTGAAATAATTGGAATAAGTATGGAGTTTTAGAACTTTAAAAAAAAAACATGTTTATGTGATGCAAATTTGTTGTACTAAAACGTTTAAAATACACAATAATATTTTATTAGTTAAATAGAGATAAAGGGTTAACTGGTAATAATACACAATTTTGGAAGGAAATATTGACTTCTTATATACAGTATTCATACCACCCTCATATTGCACAAGTTGCCGTAATTGAATCCCCATAAAGCCTAATATCATGGCATTCAGCGAAACATCAATTGAGAAAGCGGAGTAAGTTACAACGCAATTTAAGGCAACTAAAATGTTTAGTTACGCGCAGAAACAATGCGGTAATACCAAAATTCACCAAATCACTTGTAATCAAAGAGGAACACGTACAACATATCTCTAGGAAAAACTAAATTAAAATTATTGAAAATCGAGACACAAGAGAAAAGAAGTGAAATCTCCAAACTAGAAGCCACTGTCTATATAAGTCATCTTTAATATGTTAAATAAGATCCCGAATTTGAAGATTTCAACAGTCTTTGGTATTAAAATTACTGTTGAAGCAGAATTTAAAACGAAAATGAACAATATAGTAAGCAAATCTTTATGTACTCTTAAGTAAAAGGAAAATTCTGAAGTATTACTAGTACGTAACCCAAAAGTTATTAATAAGTTGATGTCAACCTTACAAACATGCAAGTTAATGCATTGACTTTAGGCTTAAATTCTGCAGTAACTCCATAAATTCTACCTATTAAAGTATATAGTAACTAGTATTAAATCTAACGTTGAACAAGTAAAAGATGATATAATTAAAACTATTATTAGATATAGATGCCAAGATATAATGTCGAAACGAAATATGAAAATGAATAGTAACTTTACTAAAGAAGAAAAAATAGCTTTACAGTCATTAAAGAATAACAGTAATATTGTTGTTACATAAGCTGACAAAGGAGGGTGTGTTGTGGTGTTGAACAAATGTGATTACATTTATAGTGTAGATCAGTTGTTAAAAGGTGGCTTCAACAACAAAATTCCATAACTTGATAAAAAACCATGTTGACCAAAGTATAACTCTGTCACCTATACAAAAACATTTGGTTCATTCCAATTCTTGTCCATCCCGTCTTTACGCTGCACCTAAGATTCATAAGTTAAACAATAGTTTTAGACCTATTGTGTCCAGTACAAGCACCTCGTCACAGTACGTTGCAGATTGTTTGTAATTAAGCACAAAGCTACACAATGGGTTATCTGTGCTCTGCCCACCACGGGTATCGAAACCCGGATTGTAGCGTTATAAGTCCGTAGACATACCGCTGTGTCACTGGGGGGCGTATGTTGCAAAGTACATTGCTCAACGGTTTTCGTATTTGAGTACTAATAATAAATATAGCATTAAAAATTCTGATATTTGTAGAGAAAATGAACAACATGAAACTTAATCCTTCTGATAAGTTGGTATCATGTGATATAGTTTCGTTGTTTACTAAAGTCCCGTTGGAATATGATATTAATTGTTTTATGATTTTTTTTTCAATCGAAATTATTGACATTATTAATTTAACTAGAGTGGGTGTTGAATTTTGTTTTTTTTTTCTAAATTAACGAAAAGTATTATGAGCAGAATATTGGATCAGCTATAGGTTCTCCTCTTTTCCCACTCCTATGTGACCTTAATATAGATAATTTCAAACGTAGTGCTCTTGATAATGTATTTTTAAAACCTGATTGTTCGGCGGTATGGAGATAGATACCAAGTTAAAAACATTTGCTGATTATCTAAACAATGTTGTTCCTTCTAAGTCTATTCAGTTCACGTATGAGATTGAACAAGATAATGGTTTACCTTTTTCAGGTGTACTTGTTAAAAGAAATAGTAATGTAACTATTTTCTCAACTATTTATCAGAAACCATATTCAGTCTCTATAGCACCAGATCAAAAGTCATATCACACGTTTTTCAAAAATTAACAGCTTTTCATATTTATATAGACAGAGCATTTAATTTTTTTCTGATTCTACTACTTTGGAAAACGAATTGAATTATATAAAAAGAATGGCTAACGACAGAGGTCATATACAAGTCAGTTTTTACCAAGCTATGTACTAGATAAAACAGTGTTATTGATAATCAAAATTTAATAATACAGTAATATTATCATATATATACGAGGTATATCTAGCCATATAGCCAACATATTCAGAAAAATAATATTATTCCTATTTTTTAAACCATTTAACAAAATCAAAATAATACTTCCTGACACTAAAGATAAAAAGAGACATTTTAGAGAAAAAAATGCATATATATCAAATTAGGTGTGAATACAACACAAAATATATTGGTCAAACTAAACGTAATTTGAAATATCGTCTTAATGATCATAAAATTATGTATGTAACAAACATTGTTGAAACAGCTTATTCAATACAATGTCATGAAACAACAATTTTAAATGAATCTAATACTCAAAGTGAATTGAATATTATCGAATCAATAGAAATTTTATGCTGTAAAATAAATAATTATTTGTTAAATACAGATGAATGATTAGCTGATGATAATGCGCAATTTTGAAAATAAATATTGACTTCTTGTGTATAATACTCATACCACCTTTATAAATTACAATGAATTAAACCTTTTCTTTATAAAACTACCTGCCTGTTACGTAGGTTTTTACTCCTGATGATGGCAGCGTAAACATACTGAAACACGTAGTCTTTTTAGTTTTGTCCATCGACCAAATAAACTTTTATTGTGCATTTTTAACGTTGATCTTGTTTGTATTTTTAAAATTTATTGCATAAGTTGTCGTAATTGAATATTTGAGTATATGTCAGTTTTAGTTTAAACAAGTACAAAACGAAATATAGACAAAATTCTCGTCTGCTGAGAAATTGAAAATTTAAGTTACAGCGTCGAAGACTTAAATAATTACTAGCCAAATAGGAATACAAGTTGTCAACTCAACAGACACACACACACACAAAAGTGGCCTGATTACGTAACCATCTAAATAGTAAGCAGTGAAAGAGTGCTGAAATGTTATGAAACGTAAACTCTCGTTTTGTTATTATTTAACCACTACAAGCTCAAAATCTAAAACGCAATTCATCGCTTGACTAGCTTGAGGCCTAAAATTTCAATAATAGATTGAAATAAAGTTACTCTCACACAAAATAAAATTATATACAAAGTTATTTTTCTATCATCATTTTTACAAGGTTTTAAAATGAAAAAGTGTTTAGTGTTTCTTCCGTTTTTACTTCTTACGTTTTATCCGCGTTCTTCGCTTTTCAAAGTTGATGTTCAAGGCAATGAATACTTTAATTTGTCAAACTGAACCAACGCTCTGTTCACATAAATCGTTAAGTAAATAAGGGAAGGCTAATTTCTTATAAGGTACATGAATATAAATATACATAAGAAAAATACAAACAAACAAACATAATTATGATAACAGCTTAGTCTAAAATATGCATATCGGCAGGTGTATATTTCACGTCAACGATGTATATATTATTCTAACATAATGCATTTCGTTAGTTGACAGAATATTAAATTATTCTCTGCAATTCTTTGTTTAAAACTCTAATACTAGATGGCGGGAGGTAAGTAGCATATTTCTTGCTTCACCGTTGAGGTTTGAACAGGGCGTGATTTGCTGCAGACAGAGCACCTACGTCACAAATTTAAAATAATAAATAAAATTAATAGTCTCTATAAAAAACAAATTTTACACTTTTTTATAACATATTAATAAGATATCAACATACTAATTAATATCTGAAAACTATTATATTAACTATGAGCATAATTGTGTTAACTTGTATTCAAAAGACATAAGTAACTATTTCATCTTATCTTGATTCCTTAAAGAAACACAACATGGATATAAGAAGAAAATGGAATTTTTGTTTGAAATCTGTTCTGTTCAGTTACGACTGCCCAAAATTTATTATATAATGTAGCATAAAATAATGATAACATTTAATAGTTTCAATAGAAAATAACGAATGTTTAATTCATTTTATGCAGTTACTGATATATTAAAGTATTATCAGCAGAATGGGTTAATATTTTGTGGTAGAGCTTGAGAACGATAATAATAATATCATATCCGGAACATTTTTAAAAATTGCTACATTGCGTGACTGAATTTTGTATTTCCAGCAAAATGCACTAAGGCAGACAGGAAACATCTAGCTCTTACTTCGTAACATTCTGACAGACAAATGACTATACGTCACATTATGTTTGTAGTTAAACACATAGCTACACAATGGACTACCTGTGTTGTGCTCACCACGGCAATCGAAACGAGGTTTCTAGTGTTGTAAATCCGCAGACTTATCGCTGTGCCACTGGTGGGACGTCAAATTAGGATGGTAAAAATAATTAGTTTTGTTTCTTTTTACAAAGAAATACTGAGATAATGGTAAATAGAGAAATAAAAGTAAACTTCAATTTCTAATAATTAAAAACATTGTCATATTTTCTTTTTGTCAATTATCTTTGATCCACGAAAGTAAATATTAAAAGATAAGTTTAGTAACATTTTTGTTTAAATATATTTCTGCGGTTGCAGTGTTTCGACAATGAATAAAGCATTGTTGATGTTTTATGAGGTATAAATATCTTTGAAACTATGCGTATGCGCATTTTATTAAAGTCAGACTGAAAGTGTGTAGAGAAAGTGGTATATCTGGATGCAATAATGAGCATTTTCCAGATACAGAAGAGCTTCATATGTGTTTAATAAGCGTAGAAATAGTAGAGATAGGCGCTTAGGAACCGGTGCTGAACTCAGACTTTCTTGGCACAAGCAGATAAGAATGATGAAACTTGCTATCTGGACAGACGTCGCAGGATAACCCTGCCAATCAGCCATCAACTGGTACCTATCACACAGCTGGATAGATTGAAACAATTGGGGTAAACCATCACACGAATAGGCCTCGAACTTGCATACAATCAACAAGGAGTTCAAAGCGCGAAGCCACTGAACATGTAACACTAATTAAAATTTAAACATTTGTACTAGCTAAGGTTACAATAGTGTAACAAAGGATAAATTGGAATGCTATTAAGTACGTTCAGAGTTTTTTTATCAACCTGTAGTGACCACGAACTGAATATACAGTTCTATTTATAAGCTGAACAAGTGAGAGTAATTAAATACGGCTTTCGACAGACTTCACATACGCAGTAAGAAAAATACGTTAAGTTAAAATATTTAACGTGTTTACCATATTGATTAAGTGTAATATGAGCGTTAGAATTATTTTATTAGCTTATAACTTTGTATCAAGGCAATGTGTTTCTTCTGTTAAAAATCCCTTCAAACTCCATTAAAAACATAAACATACCTTTATATCACCATTTAGCTATGAATAATTCCTCATGAACAGACACGCTGAACAAACTAGGAGAAAAATCCACGTTTGGCTTAGTCTAGGAGCGTCACCTGGTGAACCATCTTAAAAAAATGTAAATACACTTTATTAAAAACATCAACGAAGGTCACTTACAGCCTTAATCAGAATTTCACAAAAGACAACAACAACAACAACAACAAACATTCTTATCAACCACATGATGAATGTATAAGTCAAACACTTTTTTATACATATTTTCTTTCAAAGTTAAGCTTCTTTTTAGAATTATTATGAGGAATTCCTTTTAGTAACTAATAAATTTTTATATTTCAACACAACAAGTACATCAAATAAGCTATAAACATCTGTATTGGCTAAAGATACTTTAGTGTGACTAATTTAAGGGAAAAAAAAGTGGAATGTTATAAGGTGTACTCAGAATTTTTCATCCTCGTAGGGTTTCTTTGTTTGTTGGAAGCTAAGCACAAAGCTATACAATGGGCTATCTGCTCACCACGGGTATCGAAACCCGGTTTCTAGCGTTGTTGGTCCGCAGACATACCGCTGTGCCTCTTGGGGGGGGGATTTTCGTTGTGACTTTCAAACCATAATAGTTTGGCCAGTGACGCTGTTTTTACCAAATACTTAGGTTATTTTCTAATTAACCTTTTTGAAAATGAGTTTTATAGCTCAAGAATGAGTGTGAAAGTAACGACAGATAGCCTAAGCATCCTTTTACAATGTACCAATGATCAAGGATGCAATACTAGATAGTGTTTATTATATTCTACAAAACAAACTTTCACTTTTAGTGAAAATAAGAATGGTCTTTTAATTTTTACTTGTATAAGTTATCTTGTAATTATTGAAACAACAACAACAACATATATCGTTTGTTGCTTAGAAATCAATTTCACTTTTCTCGTAATTTTCGTAGGATTTATTACAAAACACTATGAAGTCGAGATGTGGTATAATTCACTGTATTAATGTCACAAGAGGCATTTTACACTGTATAAATCTTTCCGAAAAAATAATTAATAATACATGTTATGTTCAACATGCCTTAGAGCATGAACCAATGTTACCGACGTCTACAACGTATCTGTTAAGTCATATTGCTTGTAGTTAGTTTAATAAAAGTAATTTCAGACACTTTAACTGTTTGGCGAACTACCTTTGTAAAATAAACCATCAGAAATATAACGCGATTATCTTAGTTACACGATCAACTCTTCTCTTGAGATCCTTTATAAATATATTCTTCTCAACCGAGACCGAAGCATTTACATACGTATATTTATAATTGTGTTCCTTGTAGCTGTAGTTAATACAGGATAAAGGCAGTTTATTTACATTGTACCCCAGTGGCACAGCGTGCCAGCGGACTTACAACGCTAAAAACCGAGTTTCGATACCGTGGTGGGAAGAGCACAGATAACCCATTGTGTAGCTTTGCGCTTAACTATAAACAAACAAAATTTATATGTTTGTAACTTTCTAAGACTGAATTCCTTATGCAAGTCTTATGATTTTATATTGTATTTGCCTATTTGTCATAAATATGTGGTTTATTTGGAACATACACAGTTATTAAAAAATGTCAAATTTGTAGAATAAACATTGAAGTCTTGTCGTGGAGTATTTATGAAAAGAAATAGTCAGACTTGTCTTCTCTGTTCTTATGGTGTATAGTTCTCACAAAGAAAAAAAGAACATGTATTTTTTAATAAGAAATATTGATCGTTGCACCATCTTCTATACAAACGTAGTAAAACTGCTGTGACAAAAAATATCACATTTTATGTGTAGAAAAGGAAAAAGTAAGCCGAAACGTTTTAGCGGTACCTACAGAAATTAAATAATGCTAATCATGGATGAGGGGTGAGAGTCTGGGAGTGGCAGTGGGGACCAGGAGGATGCTGTGCGATTATTGAGAAAATTGTTTATTTCTTAATTTTTGAACGTTATTGTTTCCTTGCGTTTTTTATTATTTTTTGCCGTTTTATTTTCGATTCCCAAAATTTTATTTGGGAAAAACCTTCTGCACGTGCATAAAGAGTGCAGCGCCCTTGTGTATACTGAACTAAAATTTTAAGAATTCTGATTGTATTTCGGTGGCTTATTTGTTCATGATTACAATATATTTTTAAAAGCACAAAGATCCTTAAAATGCAATAAATATTTATTGCTGAGCTATGAATGTAGAAGTTCGTTTTACAATAACATTAAGCCACTAGAGGAATGGGAAGTATGACAATTTCGAAATTAATATCCCTTAAAATTTATACGATATATAAATAACAATAAAATATGTTTACACACCAGCTCTTATCGATCATATATCCGCTAGTTGACAAACGTGATTGGCCTGAATAACTCAGCGTCGGCAGGTGTGCATTTTTGAAGGCCAATCTACGATGTGACGACGAAACGAAATTGAAACTGAACATGAAAAGCACCAACATAAAACGGTGTACGGAGCCTTGTAAAGGCCCTGGAGCAAGAATATTTTACGTTACCCTCACAACCTGACAATATACTACGTAAAAATATAAACGGCCAAAAGTGGCATTCCCTTAAACAACACAACACTGACCAATTAAGTATACCAATACAATTGAACAGTAAACCTTTTTCATTCTGATAGCTGAGAAATGCTTCAATAAACAAAATACGATGTAATAATCTCTCTTTATTCATATTAAAAAGAAGTCTTTTTACAAGCAGGGCCGAATTAAGGACTTGGGGGGGGGCAGATTATGTAAAGAGGCTCTCAGAACTACAGTTTGAGGAATACACAAACACAAGCGAGGGGTAGAAAATACAGAATACTAATTCTAATATTTATAATAGGTATAAATTACTGACAACCATTATTTTTATATGAAACGACTAAAATTGCCGTTGTCATAGTGCCAAAGTTGAAAATTATATTTTTCAATGAGACATCCAGTTTTTGATTATTTTCTAAAAAATTCTATTAGTCGGGAGTCCCCTTTGATTCAGGGGGTACGGGACAATTGTGCCCAGTTGTCCTCTCCCTAAGTTGTCACTACTAGCAATTGGGTCTTTCTCGAATTGGGGCAAACATTTATGTGGCCCCCTGCGATAAACAGTGTTAATTGGCTAGAGATATTTAGGAACCCCCCACTCAAAAAATAATTTCAAAATAAGATATATATATATATATATATATTATTATTATTAATAATAGTCTATGACTGTTTGACTCTTGATTATTACATTTCGAGAATGTTAAGTAAGTAAAAGAATACCACAAATCGTAACATAACTAAAATAAAACCATGTTTCGTGTAATATTACGGCGGAAGTGTGGTTATGGGGAAGAGAGTATATGGGTCTCTAGTTGTTAACTTTTAGGGGCCTCAGAGATTGCCATGTCGGTTCTGTTCACAAGCGGAGTGGGCCTTACAAGAGTTGCAATTGTGTATCAGGCGGGTGATTGGGTTCCAAAACGTTTTAATTTGTATTTTACTAAAGAACTTATACGAGTTGTGATTGGGTATCATTATACGGAATCCAAAGTACAAATAGTATTAATTTCATATATCTCACAAGTGGACCTTTCATGTGTTGGGACTGTGGCTATGGTCCCTTAGCCAGTTTTCCCAACTATACGTACGCCATTGCCAACGTAAAAGTATGTTACACACTAACTATACCAAACCATGAAGCACTCTAAAATAATTTGTAATTTAGTAAAAAAAAAATTGTGATTTTTGTTTACATAGTTTATTCTTATATGCACCAATGAGATTGTTTGGCTGAAATGTTGGTAAGTTTTTATTTTTATTTACCGATTTATTTATTATTTACTCGGTTTAGGTGAATTTGTTACTCAGATTTTTCATCTTTCTGGAACATATTCTAAAAGTGCTGAAACTAATTAGACAAACATACACAGAACGAGTTTCCAGTTTTATTAAACATAAATTGATAACTACCTTGCAAGAGCTCAAAAGTGGCATCAGGTGTTGTATGGAAGCAAGAAATACTATTTACTTTTAAAATGGAAAATAATTACTTATTTATTTATTGCTTTTAAACCTAAACCAACCAAACATGACAGATGAAATAATTTCACATTGAATTAACAAGATAATTTTTCATATTGACGATATAAATTTGAAATACTCGTGTGCGTTGCATCTGGTTTTTTCACAATCTGAAAAATATGTTCTTAAATGTTTTTTGTTATATTCCAAAACCAAAATAAACTCCTGTCTTGTAGATTTCGCAGAAGCTTACGTTATATATTTTTGAGAGGAAATTGCGCTAGAGGTCTGTGATTCGTACTAAAGGCTTTTATCTAATATCGTGGGCGAAATGAAACTCCATGATGTTTTTTTCTTTATATTTCATTGGACGAAGAGAGAAAAATGTTGCAATTGGGTCTTACTATGGTAGTCTTAGCTTAACAACTTCCAGAACGTCTTGCTTATGAGATTCAATATATTACGTTATAAAATTTGACGGATACAGAGAGAATGATGCGCGTAAGCCACGAGCTCGTATTGACTGGTAGAAGATACCTGCTTTATTTCATGAAGACGACAATTGCTTTGTTAACAATTTTGAAAGAATACATTGTTTAAAACAAAATGTTAAAAATGACGAATTTATTGAACAATCGTCTCACATTATTTCAATAGTTAGAAGAGTGTATAACTATAGTATTCCAATTACACTATATTTATCATATCCATTGTCTACGACGCCTTTTGCTCAATCCAGAGCTCTTCAGGCCGAATGGAATACAACAAACACAGTAGTGATCACAACACTATTTATATATGTCTTTTGATACAATAAAATTTGTTATAGTGTGTAATTATTGATAATCCTTAAGGGACTAGATTAAGTATGTAGTGTTTAAAAACATAATATGCCTAATGTCTTATGACAAACATAATTGTTACCAAAGCTTTCTTAAAACAGTTTTTAAAATATGCATAATCAGAAATAAGAGTTTTTCTTAGACATTAAACTAACTATAAACTTCAAGAACCACCCACAATTAAATTGAGCCCATAAAATGTCCTCTGTTTTTTTTATCTATGAAGAATAAATGATAAGT